CACCTTGGCAATTGAATCGCCATTGGCTAGTATATTACTCACCTTACTCACCAGACTGAAATACTATATATATATATATATATATATATATATATATATATATACAATTTTAAACTGAAATAAAATAAATACAAATTATATAGACATATGACAAAAACACAACAAAATTACTGAAACTTAAATACAAATTAAAATTAAATGGAAAATATAAACAAAACTATTCAAAATATTAATAAAAACTATAATAGTATCTCAATGATACTAAAATAACACTGATTTACACCATACGATGACACAGAAAACTCTCGTTTCCCACTGGCTGTCATTTATCTCTGATGTGAAATGTGTGTTTATTTAAACTTCAAGAGCAAACAAGGACACACAGAGCGCTGAGCGTTTATGTTACTGTTACTAGAAGATGACTTTTAACCCAATTATGATTTACTTTCAAAACTATTTTGAATTTCACTTGTTTGCTCTGCCGTGGTATGTGTTCAGAAAACTACACATATACTCAGTTTGTTTTGAGTTTCCGGGCAAATATGATTATATTGGCAACACGACAGGTTAATATGTTAAAGGACAGATAAATCATTCAACTCTCACACACTTAGTTTCATTAAGTAAGGGATAATAATGTACAATCAGCAGGTCATTACTGCGAAATATACACTAGTGTTCAAAAGTTTGGGTCAGTAAGATTAATATTTTTATTCATCAAAAATGGATTCAATTGATCAAATGTGACAGTAAAGGCATTTATAATGTTACAAAATATTTATATTTCAAATGTCGTTCTTTTGATCTTGAAGAGTCCTGAAAAATAAAAATGTGTCAAGGTTTCCACAACTGTTTTCAACACTGATAATAATCAGAGATGTTTCTCGAGCAGCAAATCAGCATATTAGAATGATTTCTGAAGATCATGTGACACTGAAGACTGGAGTAATGATGCTGAAAATTCTGCATTTTAACATATATTCACATAGAAAACAGTTGTTTGAAAATGTAGCAATATTTCACAGTTTTTACTGTATTTTTAATCAAATAAATGCAGCTTTGAAGACATAATCCCTACTAGATATTAAATCACACAAACTAATGTTAATATTTTATGCAGTTTATTATTATTGAGATATTAAATCGCACATCTACTGTATGTTTGTGTGTGTGTTTTTCTCACCTGGTTTGCATGGGACACACAGTCCTCGACTGTCCCGTATTAACTCCATTGAGTCCTCGTCTGCTCTCAGCAGTCTGATGGGATAAACACTGGGCAGAATCACACTGTTGAAGCCACACGCCCCCACCTGGCCAGAAAAGCACATAACACATCCATAAATCACACTGAATACCTATTCAGATCTAATGAGTTCAAGTAAACACTCACACACACCTTGTTGTCCATGTTAGCGAGGCTGCAGTTGCACTCAGTGGCTCCGTAAAACTCACCGATGCGCTTGATGTTGAAACGTTTCATAAAATCTTCCCAGACGTTGGGCCGCAGACCGTTGCCCATGGCAACACGCACCTGGTGACGAGACTCGGATGGACGGACCGGCTGAGATAATAGATATCGACAGATTTCACCGATGTACTGGACCACCTGCAAACAGACAGATCATTTACTATCCTAAATGCACAATTACATGATTAGTTGATGTACTTTAATGTGTTTTCTTTGCTGTGCGTGCAGCTGTCGAGTGTATGAATATGAGATCTAAGATGACTAGTGACGGTTCCTGAGGTCAGAGGTCCTCACCGTGCAGTTGTATTTCACACAGTCGTCCCAGAAACGGCTAGCGGAGAACTTTCTGCGGATCACCACCGTCAGACCGTGCAGCATACACTGACCCACACCCACGATGTTACCTATGAAACACAGAGAGAAGACACATGACTGGCTGATTAGACTGATCCTGTCTGCTAAACTCATGAGACCTAAACTACACATTCAGTTTCAGCATTTAAAAATGATAGTTAATGTGTTCCTTTAAAGCTTTTAATTTAATAATTGCAATTACAATACATATCTTTAAAGGCCATTTTCTCAAAATTAGTTTTTCTCTCCACTTCAGCAGCACTTACATACACCAAACTTAGCAGTTTCATTCTTATCTATATTCTAAAGGATTATACTGAGCGGTTTGTTCATATATCATTCACACTGATTTATACAACATTTTACCCCTAAAAACATGGTAAAAATGCATATCTTTAAAGGTTGTGAGTTTTTTCTCCTCTTCAGCAGCACTTACATACACCAAACTTAGCAGTTTTATTCTTATCTATATTCTGAAGGATTATACTGAGTGCATATATCATATATCATTCACACTGATTTATACAACATTTTATTCCTAAAAACATGGTGAAGATGTTTTTTTTTTTTTTTGTCTGTTGACACCATTTTCTGATTTATGGATTGATAAAAACATAAATCCATATGTTTTGAAATAGTCAGTGTTGATATCTGATGATAAAATTCTGTAACATACTTAAATTTACAGCATTTACTCAAACTGATGATGTCAAATAAAATGCATTCAAAACTGCTGAACTAAAATCAACACTTATCTTACACGATATTTACTCAAAACTCACAAGAACAAAATGTTTATGTATTGACAAGGCTGTTGGTAGATTATGGAGCTGACACTAGGTGAACACACTGCTCAGGTTATCAGATGATAGTAATAAATTTGAAACTACCAAATATGGGCTGATTTATCAACCTAGTCGATATCACTAGAATGGAGGGTTATTTGAGGTATTCTTAGTAATCTGCTGCTGTAATGCTGTAATGAGTGAAGGACATAAAGTGTGTTGAACGTGACGTTTGTGTAGTGCAAACAGACCTGCGGAGTGATAGAGCGGCAGGCAGCAGTAAACCACATCATCTGGCCCCAGACCGAAGGAGTAATATCCAAACGCAGCGATGCGATAGTACCTGTTTACACAGTGCACACAAACACAGAGCGAAACAGTTGCACACATGACGTTTGCTCGGTATTTTAAGAACAGTGTTGCACAAACCTGCTGTGAACTATGATGGCAGCTTTAGGTAAACCCGTCGTTCCTGAGGTGTAGATGTAAAATAACCTGTCTGAGACGAGAAACATGTGTCACACATCAAACAGCATCATAATGAGCACATACTGTAGCATACACTGCTGTAGTTTATTTTAACTCTAAAATGGATACAGTTGTCAGTTTTTCTAATATATTAAGTGAAGCTGTAATTTCAGCTCACTTTCCAACAATTACTCAATTAACGTGCATTTTGATGTTTTGACCAACAATTTTCCATAACTTTTCCACTCATTATTAGAAGACTTTTTTTTTTTAAAAAAGGAAAAACTTTTGTAGTGATTGCATTCCAACAGCAATTTTGATTAAATATTTTATAGCTGAGCAAAACTAGAAAACAAAATCTCTATTCACAATTACAATTCCCATGAATATTTAGGATTTGCTCATTTCCAGGCCTGTAAATTAGATTTTGTCTAAATTAGACAAACCTTTTGAGTTTTAGGAGCCGTGTGATTCTTTACTTTGTGACATTATTTTCATGAAAAAAGAGCACCCTGCCCAAATTTTACTTTTGGTTTTTATTGTATTTCTACTTATTATTTTAAATATTCTTATTTTTCATATTTATACAGCACCATTAAAAATAACACAAGTTCACCATAGTGTTTTACAATTTTAACTAGAATTTATATATTAGAATTTGGAAGAAGTTTTTAAGGAATCACTTAAATATTTTATATTTTATAGGGGAAAAAAACAATATTCACAAAAAAAAAATATATATATATATATATATAAATAAATACATTTGAAAGACTTTTTAGGATTTGGTAATTTCCAGGCCTGCAAATCAACAAATATTCCCTGATATTTCCAGGTTTTTCATGACTGTAAAAACCTTGTCTATTCAATGTGATCTACACATTACAGTTGCCCTGAAGTTAACTCACACTCTACACACATCAAAACCAGCAGTGACTACACAGGTTGTGTAATGAAGGACGTGAATCAAACTGTGTCCCACACATACATTATGGGGGAAAGGTCAAGAATGCACTGTGTGGATCATGTTTCCAGCTGAAGACGCTGCTGGCTGTCCCTGAGGGAGGTTGTGTCAGATCTGATTCGCGTCTGGACACGACTGAACCCAAATAAACTAAACACACACACGTACAGCATCAGGCCATCTGACTGGCTCAGAGGTGAGTTAACCAATAACCATTCTCCCTCTAACACATTTACAAGCCCTCTGTCCATCAGTCTGTCTGTGTCAGACACTGGTGTCTTTCTCCTCAGTCTCCTGATCATGATTTCTGGGCGTCTCCTCAGGGACCGGATCTGTTCTCTGCCCTCTTTCTCCCTTTATCATGTTTTTCCCACACAATCTGCTTTTGTTGCTCTGACTTTCTTTCTTTCTTTCAGTCTCTCGCTCTCTCTCTTTCAGGCGCTGCCCTTGGCTGGTATGTAACCTTTTCCCCACTTTAACACTTGCTCGCTCACTCACTGAAAACACACATAATACCACTGCCCCCCTCTCTCTCTCTCTCTCTTTGTAAAGGGGTGAATCTCACACAACCTGCCAAAAACACGTCCGGCTCACATACAACCCAAACTCACAAGCAAGAAACAAGAATTATTAGACTGACCATTAAAAACAAATGTAGCCTGTTTTAAGACTATTAAGATTTTTAGCATTGAGAAATCTTTACTTTTAGCAACTAAGCCCCCAAAAGAAAACAACTGTATTTTACTTTATATATTGTAAATAATTTAATTTAATGATATATTACTTTAAATGCATATATTAAATATTTTACATTGTAAAAGCGTTTATTCATCATGGTCATATTTGTGATGATTTATTTATGCCAATTTAAATAATGTATATATAATATAAACAAGATAACACGATTATTAATATTTTCAACATTGTTTCAACAATGTTCTCGTGATATATAACAAAAAAATCACATAAAATACAATTATAAAAGTAATAATTTATCATGGTAATATTCACTTATGCAGATTTTAAATAATATAATGATATAACGAAAATATAACGAGAATCTAATGAAAATCAATATTTAAAACAATAATTATATAATATTACAAATAACAATAATAAGTTGTTATTATGTTTTATTACTATTGTCAGGTTTTGTATTTATTGTTGTAAAGCGCTTTGGTCAACTTGTTGTTTTTATTGGTGCTATATAAATATTTTTTACATTTGATGAATGAACATATAAAAAATAGTAATGTAGTAGATATGGTACTAATGCAGTAGAATTACAATACTAAAACTCAAAAATAAAAGTGTTGAAGTGGGAGAGGGGAAATATGCTGTATTTTAATGTCACAAATATAATAATAATAATAATAATAATAATAATGTCAAAAAGTTTAAAAAAGAGCCTAAAAGAGGGTTTGTATTCTTTAGGCAAAATATAATTTATCTGAATAGTTTTCTTGCTGTGAAATGTGACCTGACCATTACAACATCTAAAATACGTCTGAAGACATGTGGAGACATTACCTGCTGTAAAATAAACTCACTCTCACATACACAGAAATATGCAGCACATCATCCATAACACACACACACACACACACTCATACAGACCGTTGAAGCCCTTGCTGTGTGTGACGGCGGGCGGCGTGTCAGGAGATGAAGCCAGCAGATCATCCAGATTCTGAGCCGACAGCGAATCCAGAGACTCGGCCGGAGATGAACCGGTACAGAAGAGAGAAAGAGAGCTGAGAGACTCCTTCACCTCCAACACCGCTGCAGACACACAGACACCCACAGACGGATCAGTGCTCGCTTCAGAAGGGCTTTCAGTGAAACCATCACATATGTGATTTATTTATTATCACATATTTATCATATACAGTATACATAAACAGTATACAGTAAAATTTATTCAGATACCTTCAACATTTCACACATTATCACAGATTATTGGCTATAGTTTAGAAAATGATAATGACAAGAACTCAAGTTAAATTGTGTCAGAACAAATTCATCTTGATAATGTCAGATAACACTTAAGCAAAACATGGTCAGGTCAAAGTGTCTGAATAATTGCTGGTCCTAGATTTTTTATCAGTTTTACCAGTAGTCCACTGTATGAAGAATTGTTGGTATAATTTGTCACAGTTCACTTTATTTTGCTATCCTCACTTACATAAATGAACTATAGTGTCCTGCACCCACTAGTAAAAAAATATTAAAAAGTATATCTGGTGTCTGAATAATTTTTGGTTTGACTGTATATACAGTATATGCAAGTAATTAGATTTATTATTATGTATTATATTTAATTGTATTTATATCATTATTTATTTCATTTGAATGCAAAACAACATAGGGTATGTCCTTTTTTATCATACTATTTATCATTTTATTTTTTATCATATTGTATATTTATTATTAATATATTTATTTATTTAGTTTGAACACAAAATACCATGGGCTTTGTTCTTTTTTTACCCTTGTATTTACAAAACCATTATTTGCTACTTGTCAGTGCCAGTCAAGACATTTATTTATTATTATGTTTATTACATACTGATTAGTATTTATTATTACATTATTATCTATTTAGTTTGGATGTGGAAAAAACACACAAAATGCTTATTTTAATTTATTAATGCCAGCCAGAAACACATTTTCATTCTGCAGAGCTTCTGAATGGACAACAATGTATATACTAAGATGTCATAAATATCAAATTTCATAAATATATATATATATATGCTCAAAACATTCAATACTTTAACACTATAGGCTACACTGTTTTTGAATGGTTATTTAAACAACCTTTAAATAAATATTTGACAAAATTAGTAATTCTTGTCTCATTTTCTCATATTAAATTGTGTTATGTATATCCCATCAGCTATTAGCCACACCACTTTTTTCTAAACATCTCCAATGGCCTTTGAAAAAGCATCATGTCCGAACAGACAAACAAAGCAGTACGCGTCTCACCGTCCAGAAGCTCCGCCCCGAACACCATCCCTCGCGCTCCAGACACGCCCATGCAGTGCATCAGCGAATCGCGTCGCAGGTTAAAATTGATGAGCGCCGGCTCCACGCCCACTTTAGCCAGACCGAGCCACAGCACGACCATGAGCGGCCGGCTCTCCATGAAGACGGCCACCACGTCTCCAGACCTCCAGCCCTGCGCCACGGCCCACTGCGCCACCGTGTTCGAGCGCCGGTCCAGCTCAGAGAAGCTCCACACCTCGCCCGTGGACTCCTCCACCAGAGCCGCTTTGTCCGGGTGGAGCGCCACGCGCTGGGCGAATATGGACGGGACGGTGCTGCGCGTACGAATGTAATGATGCATGAAGAATTTCACACGCAACAGTATGCACAGACCACTGGAGGAGAGAAAGAAAGAGCTCGATGTGTGTATAGTAGTTCTATTTTAACAGGTCTCATGACTAGCTAATAGTAAATCTGTCCATGTCAGTTTTCTCTACATCACACCTTTTACATCGTACACACTGGGGCAAACAATATGACTAAAGAAAGTGAGCGATAGTAGGCTATACTCACACAAGGTCTCTCTTGATGGTGCATGCAGCCACATAGAGAAACCTCCATCCTCCAGAACATAAATAAACTCCTAAAAGAGCCAGCAAGCTCCAGAACCACGAGAGGCCCAGCACACTCAGTAGCCCAGCAGAGATCACCGCCGCCGGGGCACGAAACCCGTCTCCAGCACCCATCCTGGAGGAGAGAGGACCAGAGAAACTGAGCATTTTGAAGCATTATGCATCCGAGCCCATATTGACTGAGGAACTAGGGAGTATCTGTACTTCTAAAAGGTGAAAACGAAATGGTGAGCAGTTAGAAAACATGAGACACTTTCCTATAAACATCCATCTGCTTTTTAAACTATAATTTTGATACTGATTATTAAAAAAATTCTACGTTGAAATACAATTATGTATTATTCTTCAGCAGACTTTTAACTACTCAAAATCTTGGTAATGATGTGTGATGGCAATGACACATTTTCAATCTTTGGTGGAGAAACAGCTGGATAAGCCTTGAGCTTGCTAACACAAGTGTATAGCTGTATATTAAGATGTTACAATTCTCAAATATTGATTGGTTTTGGTAATGACATCTAATAGTCTTAGAATATAACTTAGATTAAATGAATGACATTTCAGATCTTAAAACTGTCACGCTGTCATCACATCTCATTTCAATATGAAACATTTGGAAAAATTCAATTATTTTCTTAAAGATTTAAAAGATTACAAAAAATGTACATATAAATAAACCAAAAAAGAAAAAGAAAAGTACAATTATACCTATTTTAGCACATTCTATAATTATTATAAAAAGTAAGTTAAAAAGTCAGGGTTGAGCTCACAAAAAGACACATTAGTGATTACATACGTGCAATTAAAAAGTGTGGAACTATGTTAATCTATTATTTAAAGTTAAATTAATAGAGAAAAAAACATTGTTTATTATCCCTTTTCCCCCAAAAAATTGAAGAATTAAAAAAACTGAATACTCAACCAGATATATGAAATACACTTTAAAGTTTAAACTAGCATTGCATGTGTGCATATATTAAATATAAGAAGAAAAGTAGGTCGATAACAGCACTGCACATGAAATGCACTTGCCTGCGATGAGCCCGTTTAGTTTTGGCCGCTTTTCAATCCCCTGGCGGAAATAATGCCAGAGAAACGTCGGACACTTTCACAGATCTGACGAGAAGTCACCGAGCAATGCGCTCGAGCGCTAGACGACCGCAGAGATATGACACATAACCATGCATTTACTCCCGAGAACTCTCGCTTGGCTCGCAGTGCGCGAACCTCAGTCTGGAAGCCCTGCCTCCACACTCACGCGCTGCGCTGATTGGAGGACACAGCTGTCAGTCAGGGGTCCGCAGGTTCTGGGGGTCCTGCGTGTCTGGACTGGCTGTTTTGGGGTCCTGTCAGAACTCGAGCCTCTGAGAAATGAGGGCCTGTGTCCATGACTCAATGAACAAAACACGGCGCAGTGCCTTTGTTTCGCACGAAGTTTTATTGCCTTTAACATCCGTGACAGTTGGATGTTTCTCCCATTTTATTTTTCACCAAGAGATCAGATTCTAAAGTTAGTTAAGATTTTTTTTTTTTTTTTTGAGCTTTTTCACACCCTCTCTGAGGCTGGAATGAATCTTCACTCAACTGTATCTTAAAAAAAAACATTTAAGCACAGCTTCTCAACGCAGATATGTACGTCTGCAAGAGGTCTGTTAAAGATCTGGAAAGCATCTGCTGTGTACAAACATCTGACAGACGTCTTTAAGATGCCAGTTTTACATGCATCCTAAATCATAAACATCTTAAAGACATCTTCTAAACGTCTATTTGACATCTGATAGGAAACATCCTCCTATAGACGTATTGCAGATGAGCAAACACTCTAAAGATGTAAATGCAGATGTCAAATAGATGTCTCCGTGATGTGCGTGTGCTATCAGGGAATTAACTTCCCATCTGAAACGAGATACAGCTTGTAAAACCTCTTAGTAAACCTGCATCATTGCTACACATTCCTTAACCAGTCGGCCCTGACATGTGTAAGAAATCTGAGTTCTGAAAGATACAGTCCATGCTAGTTCAAACTATTTTAAATGATTCAGAAAATTTACTTTTTTTTTTAACTTAACCATAGAGACAAATCAATAATATATTGTAAGATCCATTGCTGATGTGCAATAAAAAAGGGAGGTGTCAAGTTACACAGAAATGAATTGGAAACCAGTTTACATTGTTGACTAATTTTTGATCATCTTGTAGAGGTTGTTTGCTGAAAACGCATTATGGTGCACACACATATTTACCTGACTGTTATTAGACTATTTTTTGCTAAAATATGCGTCGTTTCTTTTCTTCGTGTGCTCATATTCTCGCAAAACTCTCTCCAACCTGAAAGAGGAGACACAACACAGAATAATAAACCCACGAGACTTACAAATGATAAATAATAATAAATAGTTTTGAACCAGATTTTAATAAATAACATGACAGTTATTTATGTATATCCCATTTATTCCCCTTTCCCTCATGAAAATTAAGTAAAATTAAGTTTGCATATAGAAAATTGCATATAAAAAGACATCTTTGCCAATGTAATATAATATAAACAGACATGTCACTGACAGTATAACTGTTGGTTGTTTCAGTCATTACATTCCTTTATAATGGAGGAAGAAATGAGAGAAAATACTAGTGAGCTAGAAATCAGGATGTATTTCAGGATGGTTATGGCCTTGCTTCTAAATAATTACTTCATTAACCAACATAATCAAACTAAGCTCTCCCTCAACACGATACAACATTTAGCATTATAAAACAGTGTATCCTTCTAAAAAGTAAGACTTTTCCACTTGCACAACAAAGAAAAGCAAAAGACAGAAGCAACCTAAATACTCTATTCAAAGAATGGCATGATGACTTATATCTGTTCCTATGGGATGCATTACAACAAGCCTACAGTGGGTACGGAAAGTATTCAGACCCCCTTCAATTTTTCACTCTTTGTTATATTGCAGCCATTTAGCAAATGGCTGCAATATAACAAAGAGTGAAAAATTTAAGGGGGTCTGAATACTTTCCGTACCCACTGTATATCTCCGTCTCCAGTAACAGATGATGCATATCGCATGTGATGAACCAGCATCTGTAGTACTCATCGGATGACGATGAACCCCTGTGAACGTGTACTGCTGAATTAAAGCTTTATCTTCATGCGTCTTGTGTTGAAGAGTTTGTACAAAATCCGTCAGCACATGACAAGCGCTTTATATCTGTGACTCTGCTGTGCTGCCGTCGCTCCGTAGAGGTTTCTGTAAAAGTCAAAGGAGAAATGAAGAAGCTGAAGCCACAAACGCTGCTTTAATGTCAAACACACTCAAACACACACACTAATGTACCTGACTGCTGCTGGTCTGACTGGTACTGCTTCTGTGTTCGGCTTTCTTCTTGTGTGGACGCATTCGGGCAAACAGATTGTAATACTCCGTCCTGACCCGGAGGGGGCGACACAACAGGCAAACTTAATGATATTTGACTGAGTAACAAATTAGTTTCTGGCCAATCCCAGTTGCACGCATTCAGAATAGTGGTCGACCGACATGGATTTAGATGGCTGATGCCGATACCGATATCTCAGAAAGCAGGGTGGCCGATGGCCGATATAAACCTGATATATATATATATATATATATATATATATATATGACATTACACTATTTAAAAACATGTATAACAATTACTGCAATGAAATTTTGATTTATTTTACATATTTAGTACATTAGAAATAATTAAGTGTACAATTAATCAATAAGAAAAATAATTTGAACTTGATAAAAAATAAATCTGGAAAAGAACTCTATAAGGATTGTATGTAGTCGTAGGATGTAATCGTATTATAATATTTTTCACAAATAAAAAACTAGTTCACCCAGTAATCTGTTAGTTTTGTTGTGCACTTGGAGTCATATTTTCCCAAATGAAGACCAGGTAACGCTACATTTAATGCACAATACACGGTGAACATGACATGAATATGAATATTGCTGGATATATAGGTCAGTATAGTTTGAAATCAAGGATTTAAGATTACACTCGCAACTGCGCTCAGATACTGTTGTTCTTAGAGCTGTCAATATAAAAGTCCTGTTGCTGTCAAAATAAAAGCTGTTTCTGACATTTATCGGCCAAACAGAAAAACTTATCGGCCAATGCCGATAATTAAAAAATGCCAAATATCGGCCCTTGGTGATATATGGGTCAACCACTACTTCTGAACAATTAGTATATATGGCATGAATTGAATGGGATCGTTTTGTGATCCTTTTGCATCATTTTTTGAAGCTTGAAGAAGGTCACCATACACTGCCGTTATAAGGACGAGTGTTCTTAAAATTTCTCCTCAAGGGCAAATGAACACAAGAGCAACTAAAAAATGACTTAATATTTTAAATTATTTTTTATTTTATTTTTTTATTTTGGGTGAACTGTCACAAATGTTCAGTGTGTAAGTAAATTCTTCATGTGTTTCTGTTGTCATGGTGTGTTTTAAGCACCGGTTTGGACAGCAGGCAGTGCATGATGAAGATGAGCGCCCCCTGCAGGCTGTTGAGGATGATGAAGAGGTACAACATGACTTCAGTCCCTTTCTCCTGGAAGAGGAAGAAGCCGAAGATCCACGTTCCTCCAAGAATACACAACTGAGCCACAGCGGTCATCGTAAAGCTCCTACACACCAAATATAATTCATCAGAACCACTGATGCACAAACATCAAGACTGACTGAATCTATTTTGAGATCACACACCTGATCTGGTTGAGATTGGAGAGATCTGGATTGAGGCTGGAGAACTTTCTGGCCAGTTTCCAGACGGTGATGATGAAGACAAAACCATTGAGGATCACAATGATGCAGACGGGTGCGAAGAAACTCAAGATAAAATAACGATCGCGAGAGAGCCAGCAGCTGCAACACACACATTAGAATGATAAACTAGTCACATGATTACAAAAACACATAAAAGACTAGTTCATCCCTCTTTCACTTTCATAATTCCATTGAAAACATATTTGCCATTCAGACAGGAAGTTGGGGACATTTTTCCAAAGGCTTTAGTTTATATCACAGCCATGAACCCTGATTTAAATGATTTGTTTGCACATAAGATAAGTAGTCAGTACTTTTGGTACGTTTCCCAAAGGAAAATATAAATATAAGAGTTCATAACTGTCAAGACTTGTAAAAGTACGCTAGCATATAGAGCTTAAAGTTGAGACAAAACCCACATGTTGATTCATGGGGTCTTTATTACATTTACATTTAGACATTTAGCAGACACTTTTATCCAAAGTGACCTTCAAATGAGGACAATAGAAGAAATCAAAGCCAACAAAAGAGCGATGATATGCAAGTGCTATAACAAGTCTCAGTTAGCTTAACGCAGTACAAGTATCATAATAAATAAAAATAAAACAGACAGAATAGAAAATAGAAAAAGAATAGAGCAAGCTAATGTTAGAGGCCTTTTTTTTGCTTTTGTTAATTGTATAATTAATAAAAAGAAAACAAATAGACAGAATACAAAAAGATTAGAGAAGCAAGTGTTATTTATTTTTTTAAAGAAAACAAGCAGTTAGTAAATGAATAGAGTGCAAGTTGCATAAAATTGACACACTATTTCCCTATTTAATGCTGTAAAGTTGCTTTGACACAATCTGTATTGTTAAAAGCGCTATGTAAATAAATACAGGTGACAAGTCTAAAAGGGGCAAGTTTTTTTATTTTTTTATTAAAGAATAGAATTAGAATAGAGAGTGCTAGAGTTAGTGGGTCAAATAAAGATGGAACAGATGTGTTTTTAGCCAATTCTTGAAGATAGCTAAGGACTCAGCTGCTCGGATTGAGTTGGGCAGGTCATTCCACCAGGAGGGAACAGTTAATGAAAAAGTCAGGGAAAGTGATTTTGTGCCTCTTTGGGATGAACAATAAAGTGACGTTCACTTGCAGAACGCAAGCTTCTAGAGGCACATAAGTCTGAAGTAATGAATTTAGGTAAAGGGGTGCAGAGCCAGTGGTGGTTTTGTAGGCAAACATTAATGCCCTGAATTTTATGCGAGCAGCTACTGGTAGCCAGTGAAAACTGATAAACAGAGGTGTGACATGCATTATTTTCGGCTCATTCTGAATGACAGAACCTAGTGATGCCATGTAGACAGAGAAGAGAAGTGGTCCAAGTACTGAGACCTGAGGCACCCCAGTAGCTAGATGTTGTGATCTATCACCTCACCTCTCCAAGATACCTTGAAGGACCTATCTGAGAGG